ATATATATATTTATATAAATTTTTTTCCTTTTTTGTTTTGTCCATTGGTTTCTGAAGTGCAGCAAGAGACCATTACTGAATTGGAGTCAATCAAATAAAGAACAGAAGGCCAAGCAGTTTCCAAATGGTTATTTTATCAGATTTTGTTTGGACATTAAATTTATCCTCATTTTGCAATCCAAAATAGTTACCTGAAGTTTGTTATGGGTTTTTGTCTTGTGTTTATATTTTTATTGTTTTTTTTCTTTTTTTACTCTTTGGTACAATTTTTGGGGCATTTAGACTGTCACAGTAAAAGTCAGGAGAGAGCTTTCCCTTTGTGCTGCCAATTCACAGCGTTTAAATTTTGGTTTAGGTTGTGGGTTTGTCTTTAAAGTATGTTTTTGACAATCTCATTTTTCCTATATCCTCTAAACCAGAGTTGTCCTTCCCCCTCCCCACCCCCCACTCTCTCCCCTTCTACATTCACAGTTGAACCATATTAGGAAAGGTGTCTTGATGAAAAGAGATCATGAAAAGCGTCACTTGGGATGGGAACTGAATGTGTCAGTGTTTTCCCTAAAAATTAAAAATAAAAAAAGACCCTAAAGAGGGGCTTTCCTCTTTTTTTTTCTTTTTACATCTCTTGTGCTGCATCAGTAGACAGAACTTCAGTTAGTTTTATGGAATGTAACATCTAACCCCCTTTTTTTTCCTGGGAAAAAGATAAACTGCAATGACTTGAAGTTGAGAATGTGGATACCGCCTCATTCACACACACTCACTCTTAGACTCACTCACCCTCCTTTTAGCCCACACATGTACAGTACCGTGTGTCAAAGGTACACCGAAGTTGGGCTTGAGACCCAGGCTCCCTCTCTCTCATCAGTAGCAAAAGCCAGGCCTTTAACATCAAAGCACCACAGCTGAACCCAGTCCCTTTTCTCCCACACTAGTCATTCCGCTCAGCACTGACTGAAAGACAGAAAAGCTAGTTCTAGCCTCTCTTGGGAAGAGATTATCTATTCCCTTCTTTGTCTACCATCACCCATCTCCATCAGTGCCAGTGACCAAGAGCACTACTAGGTATTTTCTCTAGAGTGGAGCATTGATTACTAAGCTTAGAATCTGACCCTCTTCCGTGATATGCCCAAGAGAGCATCAGAACTTGGAGCAGAAGCTTCCAAAGACAGCTCATCTCCAAGAGCTAAGTACAAACTGAATTTGAAGAAAAGTTAGGCATGTTTTATAGGGAAGAAAAGGAAATGGGAAGATGGTACAAAAGAGATTGTCCTTCTAGACATCCAACATTTGTGGGATCGTGGGATTTAGAGCTGGAAGGCACCTCAAAGGTTACCTAATGCAACCCCTTTGTTTTACAGATGAGGAAACTGAGGCCCAGAAGAGTGAAACAATTTGCCTGAGTGGTAAGTGGTAGGGCCAGGGTTTGAGCCCATATTGCCTAATCTCAACTCCAGTGGGCTGAAGAATCACGTGTTTTAGAGCTGGAGACCCAAGTGCGTGTTTTAAAGAATACCTCAGACCACTTTAAGATTTGAAAGAAGTCGTTATGGACATCATCTTTTCAGATCCTTACAGTAACCCTGTGAAGTAATTGCTATTATTAAACTCATTTAACAGGAAAGGAAAATATGGCCCAGAAAAGTTTAGTGATTTGCCCAGAGTCACACAGCTCCTCAGTAGGAGGAGATAGGATTTAAATCTGGGTCTTCTTGACATTAAGTCCAGTGCTCTATCCACTATGTCACGCTTCCTCTGAGGACAGCGTTCATGATGGGTTGATGCAGGAAGCATTCTTATCAGCCACTCCTGCTGCATTGCTGAGTAATAACTCTGATTATCCTGGAATGGGATTGGATAACAAAAGTAGAGCTAAGAGGGGAAGAAGGTAAACAGAAGTGTTATCCTTAGGAAGTCTGTCATTCCATTGATTAATTCAGGCTAATTAAGAGGCAGTAATGATATCGATGTCAGCAGATGCAGAAGGTGACATGTTGCTGCCTTCTGCTTTCTGATCCATCAGTCTCTGCTGATAAGAATCTTAGAACAAAGACTCAGATTTCAGGGCACCATGAATTTGGATGGGAAAACAATTGACATCTTTGTTTTTCACTAGCCTCTAACTGAAATTTAACATTTCCTTCAAGTATCTAAAAAGAGTATTCTGGGAAGGGATTCAGAGGTTTCACCAGACTGCCATAGGAAATCATGGTGCCCTAAAGAGCCTCAGCTGGACGTGGTCACACACTCTTGTGATCCCTGCTACTGCAAGAGGCTGAGGTTGGTAAATGGTTTGAGTTAGAGAGGAACTAACACCCACTGGGTGTCTGAACTAAGTCGAGTACTAATATGGTGAGCCCCAAGAGTGTTGGGCAACCAGGCTGCCCACTAAGGAGGGGTGAACTGGCTGAAGCTGGAATAACAGAGCAAGTTAAAGCTTTTGACCAATCTGAGAGAGATTTGGGAGACTTAGCCTTAAAACAAAATTTAAGAAACTCTTTTCTTTTTTTTTTTAAAATTAATTTATTTAGTTTTCAACATTCACTTCCACAAGATTTTGAGTTCCAAATTTTCTCCCTATCTTGTCCCTTCCCCACCCCAAGATGGCATGCATTCTGAATACCCCTTCCCCTAATCTGCCCTCCCTCCTATCTCTCCCCCCCTTCTTTTATCCCTTCCCCTTCAATTTTCCGATAGGGCAGGATAGATTTCTATACCCCATTTCCTGTATATCTTATTTCCCAGAAGAAACCCTTTTCCAAAACCTATTAGACTACCCACTACTGTCTAAAGGGGACACACTGACAAAGCAAATGCAGTGCTTCCTGAGATTTTACAACAGTGGCTGTGGACCCACAAGGTGAACTGTGGACACTGAGTATTTTGCCCACTCTGATTTGTTCTCTGGTCTTCTGAGCCTGGAGGACTCCCTGCCATCTACCGTCTAAAGGGACACCAGTGTCACCTGGATCCAGAGTTATGCCGCACATTTCTCAAAAGCTGGAGACCAAACTTTTCCCGGGGATGAGGATAGAATGTCCAGGTTTCCTAGTGTCTGGCATTATTACTGAAATTCTTCTTTGCCAGGACAATCTCTGAGAGAAGGGTACCTCTAGGCTGTGGGCCCAATGTCCAGCTTTGGAATAGCCACATAACTTATCGCATAAGAAGAACTAAGGAAGGGAAGCCTGGCTTTACAGATGAAGCTCATGCCTCCCTGGGAGGCTACAACAGAGAAGGAGAGGTGACGAAAGCACAGTTCGCCAGAGACATGGCAAGAAGAGTCTTGGATGGAACGTGGGCCATAAGCATTCTAAGGCTCTTGAACTAACAACCTTCCCCCAGGTTGAATGGGGTACACAATGCAGGCAACACCGGAGAGTAGAAAGCAGAGTCATCTCGGAGTTAGGAGAACCACGGAGTTGTGGAACACTTTAATGGGAAGGAATCTAAGAGAAGATCTAGTCCAGCCCCTTAACACCTCAATGTCCCTAATGCTCTAAAGCAATAGTGATCCTGAGCAAGCCCACCTGTACCTAACTCTCCCCTGTGCTGCTGGGCTTTGGCCCTGGCCTGCATTGGCTATCACAGCTATAGCTTAACCAGGTCACATTGTAGATTTAAAGCCCAGGGTCCCAGCATTGTCCTAGAAGCAGCAAGGAAGGCAAGTTTTCTTCAGCAATTATCTCTGCAGTGTTTGGACCTAGCCTTTCCATCCCTGTCACATGCCTGAAAACCCTCCTTAGGTGTTCCCTATCCTCAGGGAGCTGTTATTTTCAGGCCCTAGTCAGTGAGTAAAGAGACTTCCATGACCGTCTGAGTTCCCTCATATGAGTATTTCTCATGAGTGAACGTGCAGATCCAATAGTCTCTAGAGACCTGTAAGTCAGTTAATTGCCTTTTATGGACCAAGCATTACACTAAGGTGTGGGATACAAGGAAAGGCAAAAGACAATTTCTGTTCTCAAACTCGCAGTCTAATGGGAGAGATAACATGAAAACAACTATGTACAAACAAGCTATATGAAGGATAAATTGGAAATCATTAGCAGAGGGAAGGAACTAGAAATAAGAGGGATTGGCAAAGGCTTCCAGTAGAAGATGGGAATCTTTCTGGGACTTAAAAAAAATCCAGGGTAGCCAAGAGATAGAGATGGGGAAGAAGGGCATTCTAGTCATGGTAGAATAGCTAGTGAAAATTCCCAGCCAGTAGATGGAATACCTTGTTTGAGGAAAAATAAAGAGGCTGGTATCCAAACAAGTGATTCCAGAGACTCCAACTTTGGAGGATAGCCACTATAAACTTAATAACAATATTGTGTTATGGTGCTTTAAAGTTTAGGAAGTTTTTGTCACAATACCCTGTGAGAGAGGTACTGTAGATGTTGTTATTATCCCCATCTTTTTTTTTTTTAGACAGGGAAAATGTGTTCTATATTTAGATTTGGGCTTTTGGTACTTTATTGAATGCAAGGCGGTATGGTCTAATGGCAAAAGACTGGAAAGGTCTAGGTTCTATTCCCAGACACTCTGGGAGCTAGCTGTATAGCCTCAGGCATATTGATGAGTTTTCCTGATCCTCAGTTTCCATATCTGTAACTCAATTAAACAAGCATTTATTAAGTGCCTACCCTGTGGTAGGCCCTGGGCATATGAAGAGAAGAATGAAAGAATACCTGCCTTCAAGGACCTTATATTCTACTTGGGGGAAAACAACATGTATACAGATTACTTAATAATCAGGGGACTCAGGAAAGAAATCACATGGGAGATTTTGAACTGAGCTGTGTCTTGAACGGGAGAGCATTCCAGGCATGGGAAACAGCTTGTCCAGAGGCACACAGAGGACAGTGAATAGGCCAGTTTGTCTTTTCTACCCTCCTCCCCTCTCTGGTGTGTGATCTCTTCAGGAAAACAGGGTCACACAACAACAGCATATTTAGTTATATGTGTTGTTTCAACTGCAGTTCTCTCTTCAACTTTGGTTCAAGTCGAATGTTTTAAATGCCTTGATAAAGAAGGTCATATTTAGGAATGTTCTTGGGATCAGTTGGACTTTGGATGATAAGTTTTCCTTGAATTGCTCCTCGATAGATTACTTCAACCAAGTTTATGAAGTCCTGTTTAGTTTTGAAACTTCCCACAAACTTAGTGTGATCTGGAGACCCATAATCCACTTTCATATGCTGTCCATTGAAGAAAAAGACAGTAGATGGAATATAACTAACGTCAAAATACTGGGCGTAAATTGGTGTTTGGTCCATATCCACCAGATATATCATAGCTATTTTACTTAAGTCATGATAAGTCTTAGAAAGGATGTCATCTATCTGCAGTTGGACAGGATCCTCATCTCTTCCAAATCTGAGAACCAAAACCTTTTCTGCAGTACTTTTTATTGCCTGGCCTTTTTTGGATGCAAGCTTGGGCAGCAGGAGACTCATCCTGAACCAATCCAAATGTTAGTTTTCACTACCAGACCTTCCTTACCTCTGTCCCGGCCCTCCTAGTCTGTCAGCACAGGCCCCGAACCACCCTCAACCTCCTCGCACCCTGGCTCCTGCCCCGCATCTATTATCCCCATCTTACCGACAAGGGAATGGAAATTCAGAGCAGATAAACAACTCACCCAAAGTCATACAACTAGTAAATTTTGGAGGCAGAATTTGAACCCAGGTCTTTCCTGATTCCAAGTATAATATTCTTCCCATTCCATCATGCTTCCCATTCTATACTGATGTCTGAATGACTTCAATATTAGTGTGACATAGTGGAGGAATAATCAATGTCTGATGCCAGACTTGGAGCTGGGTTGTCAGTTCTTCTAACCAGACCTCAATGGCTTCCCCTTTGATACTGAGTCAAAGTATGTTTTGCAGAATCCTAGAGCAGGGGAAACAGACTTTTTCCATTACAGCAAAAATGTAGGTTGAGGATTGCCAGCTCTTACCCTTCTTTACCAAGTTTACTTAGTGCCCGAGTCTTATTGAAGCTTCAAAATAGTTTTCAAGGCCTTGGTGCTAGCTGCCAAGAACATGAGGGGAGTTAAAATGGCAAATGAAGAGACGTCAGGGGTGTGTGTTTTTCACTAGCCTCAAAACAACTTAGCAGGAAGTATGTACTGAGGGGAGAAGGAACACATCCTGGGTCCTAAGACAGAGAAGAGGTGAGAGGAATTAATTTGCCCTAACCCAGCTGCAAGTGAGAATGGAGGCTTTCTCTGTGAGGAAAAGGAAAAGTCTTGGTCTTGACAGACAGAATTTGGTTGGTCCTTTTGTGTGACACAGACCTTAGTAACAAAAACGTTAAAAATGTATTTACTGCCCCCAAGGCATGTTGGCCCAGGGCAGACTGACACTCTCAACTCTCCCCTGGGGAAGAAGAAGCATCTATAGCAGCACATGACAACATCAGGATAGTAGTTTCAGGAGATGGTTAGCAGCATCTTGAGGAGAAGAAGAGAATAGAAGCTTCAGAGGCAGAGAGAGAAACAAGAGAGAGCAGAACTTCAGCCAATCACAGTCTGGGACCTGGGGAGCAGCAGCAGCAGCAGCAAGGAAGCTCCAGGACCATACTGATGGACTTTCAGGAGCCAGAAACAGTGAGGCGTGCTTGGTTACAGGCAGACAGAGCTACAAGAACGCAGGCCAGAGAGGTACTGCAGGTGAAACTCTCTCAATCACTCACCTCAGAAGGCATTGGATGGGGGTTCAAGCTACTTTGAATACAAGAGCAGTATGATTCTAGACTTGTGTGGAACACCCATTATACTGGGATTGGAAGGGATCCTAAAGGTCACCTAGCCCAACATAAACCTGAACAGGATCCCCTCCCATAACATTTGGAAATCCTTCAGGCTTCCTTGTTCTTGTCTTCATGATAGCATCCCCAGTGTAGTCTTACTTTCATGACCAAATGTTCCCAATGGTGAACATTCCCAGATCATAGAAGGATAGAGCACAGCAGATATAAACATCCGGATCAGTGAAAAAGGAATTCAGTTCTCCCAGAAGGAAAAAGACAGATTTCTCTCAGAGTCCACAGAAGATTCAGAGTAGTGAGAGGACAATGATTTGAACTTACACAGTTTTTCAGCTAGATGGCATAGTGGATAGAGTATACAGTACCAAACCTAAAGTTAAGATGATTCATTTTCCTGAGTTCAAATCTGACCTCAGACACTTACTAGCTGGGTGACCCTGGGCAAGTCACTTAACCCTGTTTGCCTAGTTCCTCATCTATCAAATGAGCTGGAGAAGGAAATGGCAAACCACTCCAGTAGCTTGGTCAAGAAAACCCCAAATGGAGTCACAAAGAGTTGGACCCGACTGAAGAGTGACGAAACAAAACCAAAAATGATTCAATGTAATGCAACAAAAATCTACCAAATACATACTATGTGCCAAGCACAGTTCTAGGCACTGGGGATATAAAGACAAAAAATAAAAAATTTCCTGTGCTCAAGGAGCTTTTTGAGAGAAGAGAAGGAGGGATATGACCTAAGTCCTCAAAAAACTCTATGCGAAATATATACAGAATGGAGACAAAATGTTGCGGGAGGGGGTGGTGAACACTAACCACAGGATGGGAGAGGGTAGAAAAAGCATTCCTTCACAACTGATTCTTGAGTCATGCTTTGAAGGAAGCTAGAGATTCTGCAAGGCAGAGGTGAGGAGGGAAGGCCTTCTGGCATAGGAGATAGCATGTAGGTAAGAGATAGAGTGCCTGCCATGAGTAGGTAGGCCAGTCTGCCTGGAACATAGTGTTCATGGCTGGGGGGGACAGGCGCAGGGAGTGATCAGTCTGGAAAGATAGGGTGGGGCCAGCTTGTGAAGGTATGTTTTTTTACCTTTAACTTTGATATAGTTTCTCCTTCCTGGTCTTTGCCTTCATGCATCACACTCCATACTGTCGAGCAGTCCTATATAACTTGAAAGGACACACCAAATCTGCTCATTTCTGTGAAAATAGGTCATTGTTACTCTCATGAGCAGGAGCATTTTGAATTTAGCCATCACATATGAATTAGTTCTGCTGAGAGGTTGGAGGGGAAAAGAGGCTTGTCAGGTTTGAATAATAACTTGTTGCCTTTACATAGCTCTTTAAGCCTTACAAAACTGCTTTCTCCACAACCATCTTGTGAGGTAGGAATCATGAGGATTATCCCCATTGTTCCAATGAGGAAACCAAAGGTCGGGGAGGCTGCTCAGGGTCACACAGGTGGAGGATCCAGGAATCTTTCATGAGAATAAGTCCAGCCCCATTTCCTGTCTATGCTGTGCTGCCTCTCAAATTCCCTGTTTGTGGATGCTTGTCAATCTTCTCCAGGTTTTATCTGTGCTGAAGGTACCATACCACATGTCTCAGGCTCCAGAGTGAAAGTAGTAATGGCTACCCTTTAGATTCTAGGGTCCCATAGATCTGGTGCTGGGATGGGGTGGGGGGAGCCTGACTCCAAGAGGGTAAGTTTCTCTCTGTCTTATAGCTCCCACCTGGAGAACCCCAAGAAAACAGACAAAATGTAATTTAGGGCAGCCTGTGTCTAGATTTTCCCAAGTGGGGTAACACAGTTCCCAATTCACCAAAAGATATTTAACATAAGGGTATCTAGTGTGGGATGGCCTGGCAAATAGTAGGAGTTCAATAAATGCTTGTTGACTTTATTTGGAGAACAACCTGACCAAAACCTTTTTGGCAGCCTGAAAGCTTGGATTATATCCAGATTGGTTAAAAGCCACTCTAAAAAGTTAGAGTGAACCATGCTGCTCAGGAAGGCCAGTGTTTGTGGTGAGGAGCCCTGAGTTCATAGAATCCTAGAATTTTGCTGTAGGAAGTAGTCTTAGAAACAATCCATGCCAATCTTCTAATTTCAATAATAATAGCTAATACTTTCATAGCACTTTAAAAATTCACAAAGCATTAGCCCGCATATCTCCTTGGTCTCCCTCACAGCAGCCCTGCAAGGTAGATGTTACAGATATTATTACCCCCATTTTATAGATGAGAAAACAGAGGCTCTGGGAGGTTCTGTGATTTGACCAGGGTCATATTAGTAAAGTGACCCTGGACAATTCCCTCAACACGTCTAGGTTTTTGTCATTGTTGTTCAATCATTTCAATCATGTCTGACTCTTCATGACCCCATTTGGAGTTTTCTTGGCAAAGATACTGAAGTGGTTTGCCATTTCCTTCTCCAGCTCATTTTACAAATGAGGAAACTGAAGCAGACAGGGTTAAGTGACTTGCCCAAGGTCATCCAGCTAATAAGTAAAGTCAGATTTGAATTCAGGAAGATGAGTCTTCATCTTACTAAGATGGCCACCCTAAGTGCTAGAGTCAGAATTTGAACCCTGGCTTCCCTGACTCTAAGCTCAGAATTCTATACCATGTTATTTAGGAAACTGAAACCTGGAGAGGTACTGATTCTTGGCTATAGCCACACAGCTACTTAATGACAGATTCTATGTGGCTGTTTCCCTATGTATTACCATTTTATCTCTAATAACTCAGAGAAGGAAAATGAACCGTTCACATAAAGTCAGCCTTGCATATAAGTATCCAGAAAGCAGCAAGTTTAATCTATTATCAGTGATTTATGATGCAGAAGAGGCCATGGCTGACTTACAATCACAGAATGAGTTTGTAAAACCCCTTCCTTTGGAAAAACTGGCTTAAAAAACAATAAGAATGACAAGCAAAATAAGTCGCACATGGAGAGAAGGAACACATCTTATTCTTCTCCTTTTAAAATAGGTGTGGTTATAGCCCACATTACCTTTGCCAGTGGGATAAAGTTCAGGGTTTGGTTTTTTTTTTTAATATGCTGTATATTTTTAAGTGCCTCAATTTTTTCCCCCAAGTTCCTTGTTTGCTTTTAAAAAATAAACACCTGACTGAGCAGTGCAGCCCAGTTCTCTGGTGCACAGGTTACTGTTGTGTAAAGCTGGCCAACCTCGTGTAGGTGGAGCCCACCCCCTTTCCTAACAGCAACTCTAGCCCGGCACACCCTTCTCATTAAGCCCCAGCAAACGCCCTGGCAGGGTTTCTGGCTTACCCAGAATGCACAGAGCCTGCAGTGTTTTCTTCCACTCTGAACAATAGGCTTTGAAAGAGTTAATCCAGATTGGGGCCTTCAGGCCTCAGAGGGCTCAGGATTCCTGCTAGGCATTCTCACTTGTTCGGAAAAACAGCCCAGGCCCAAGGACACAGCCAGGCCCTACAGACAGGGCTAAGTCATAGTTTTGAAACCTTCAGAGCAACAGGATCAATTAAAAAAAAAAACCAGACTCATCCTATTTGGAGAACACTTCTCTTTGAGCAGGGGAGAACACACTACAGACATTAGCGCATTCGTTCGTTCATTCATTCATTCATTCTTACAGTGTGGGTCCCCACAGACAGGTTAAAACTAGGGTTCGTCATTTCTCTTTTCTAGATGAGGAAATTGAAGTA